TGCCCATCTTCGTGTAGGTCGGCCTCTGCCCCTCCTTCCTGGTACCATGCCTTCTGCTATAATTTTTTCCAATCCGTCGTGGCGCTTGATTTGACCAAAATATTTCAGCTTTCGAGAAAGGATGCTGTTTATTAGCCAATCTTCCTTGATGTTCAGATCTTTTAAGATGTCAATACTTCTCATCTTCTTTGTCCAAGATATTCTGAGAATCTTTCTATAGCATTTCAGCTCAAAAGCCCCTATTCTCTTTCTTAAGGACTGAGAGATAGTCCACATCTCACATCTGTATGTAACCGCAGGGAAGATGCAACACAAATATTGTCCACAATTTACATGGGGGAAGAGGAAAAGATATATCTCTGCCATTTGTGCATGGCTATAAACTGGAGCAAGTGACTCCAGGCTGGGGGAGAGGAAAAGATATGTCTCTGCCATTTGTGCATGGCTATAAACTGGAGCAAGTGACTCCAGGCTGGGGGAGAGGAAAAGATATGTCTCTGCCATTTGTGCATGGCTATAAACTGGAGCAAGTGACTCCAGGCTGGGGGAGAGGAAAAGATATGTCTCTGCCATTTGTGCATGGCTATAAACTGGAGCAAGTGACTCCAGGCAACCAGGCTGGGGGAGAGGAAGGGTGAAGAACATTATAACAGACACTGCTAGTTGATTCATGGCACTGATAGCTGTACTAGAGCAGTGTCACTGACACCACTGATCCGAGTTTGAACCCCAGTAATGGAGAAACTGAAAGTTCTCTGGGTTGAAGCTGGCTTGTTTAAATCATGTTATCTGCATGGGTTCCTCAAAAAAAGACCCACATCCACATGGGTTCCTCAAAAATAGACCCACCTCTGCATGGGTTCCTCAAAAATAGACCCACCTCTGCATGGGTTCCTCAAAAATAGACCCCCTCCGCATGGACTCAAAAATAGACCCAACTCACTCTTTTTTCAATAACAAGTCAACTTATTGGGGTGTTTCCTTCAAAGCCAGAATGCACCTGCCTGAGAGCAGAGGAACCAACAGTGTGCATAACAATAAGCCAGATCTGTAAAATGGATGTGCACACAAATCTCAATTTCTGGCAAAGAACAGAAGTGGACAAACAATGACAACTTTCCATCAGAGTTTACAGCTGGAGAAGAAGAGGAGAGATCAAATCACTGGCAGCCGTATCCCAGACCAAACTTGGCCCGCACAAACCAAAGAAGCACGAGCAAAGACTTGACCCGCACAAACCAAAGAAGCATGAGCAAGACTATACAGTGAGTATGAGTTGATTGAGGGCTCTAGCTCATTAGATGTCACACAGAATATGAAACACCTGAACAAGTGCCTCTTTAACTGCTTTCAACAACTCCCATCTCTTTCCCGGTCTCTACACAACCTCAGCATTTAATTTTGTTTGTCGCCGTGGTCTCCAGAAACTACAAAGGGGCGGCCATGGTGTCACTGCTAGAGGCTTGCCTGCAGATCAGAAAGTCGTGGGTTCGACTCCTGACTGTATCTGATTTTTCTTTTAAAAGTGAGCTTGGCTCCCAGGTCGACCCAGCTTTGTGTGGGTACCAGGTACAAGTCCTGGGAAGTAAAGGTGGCTGACCACATCACCCATGAAGTGTTGATTGGTCTATAAAATATACGTCCAGCCCTATATGCCCAATACGCCTGTAGGCGAGGAAAAGGGGGTCTTTATTTTTTTTTTTTTTAATTTTACTTTACTTACAAACTAGGAAGTTATGCATATTTCTCCAATTCTAGTCTTGTCTAATGTGGTTTCCCAGAAATGTCTCCAACTCTACTCTTGTCTAATGTGGTTTCCCAGAAATGTCTCCAACTCTACTCTTGTCTAATGTGGTTTCCCAGAAATGTCTCCAACTCTAGTATTGTCTAATGTGGTTTCCCAGAAATGTCTCCAACTCTACTCTTGTCTAATGTGGTTTCCCAGAAATGTCTCCAACTCTACTCTTGTCTAATGTGGTTTCCCAGAAATGTCTCCAACTCTACTCTTGTCTAATGTGGTTTCCCAGAAATGTCTCCAACTCTACTCTTGTCTAATGTGGTTTCCCAGAAATGTCTCCAACTCTACTCGTCTAATGCGGTTCCCCAAAACTATCTCCAACCCCTGTCTTGTCTAATGTGTTGCCCACATCTAAATGAAATGACGTATGAAAGGGGGAAGACTAGAAGAGTACCATACCAGGCTGGCCTGCGTGCCCAGTTCTTAACCCTTTGAAAATAAAGTTTGTTCATTCGTTTGTTCATGCACTCAAAACAGCAGGTTTCATAATCTTTCCATGTCAGAACAAACAAACAAACAAACAAACACTGTTGATGCAAACAAAATCATTCCCAACAAAGAATACAAAAAATAAAACTAACTGCTGTTAAACAGTGTGCTTAAAATAATGAAACAAATATTATTGTAAGCAACTTGGCGAATTACAGCACTGGACAAACTGTCAGAAACAAAATCACAAAGTCTGGGAAACCTCAGTCAGACTGTAGCAGAAGCAAGCGTAAATACTGGCAAGTCAAAACATCACGCAACAAGAGGTGGTGAGTTTTTGACATCACATGACATGAGGTGGTGAGTTTTTGACATTACATGACATGAGGCTGTGAGTTTTTGACATTACATGACATGAGGTGGTGAGTTTTTGACATTACATGACATGAGGCTGTGAGTTTTTGACATTACATGACATGAGGTTGTGAGTTTCTGACATAACATGACATGAGGTGGTCAGTTTTTACCATCACACATCAGATGGTAGTTCTCAACCTAACCTCGCATTACAGTTCTCTCTGTTTGTGTTCATCATTTGTGAAGTCAGGTGAAAAGTTCTGGTTGTTCATTCACTTCTGGACTTTAGTCCTGCTCCAGAACTTGAGTTTGTGTGCACATCTGTTTTACAGATCTGGGTTATTTGTATGCAGACTGTTAGTTCCTCGCCTTTAGAGTAGATGCACTTCAACTTCAAAGGAAACACCCCCAATTATTTGACTCAAACCATGAATCCAGACTAGCTTGCTACACCATAAGGTCATCCCTATCAACAGCCGAAACACTTCATGAGCCACAACCTCTGCCCAAACACTAGAGCACAACAAATATTTAGGAAATACAAGACTTTCTCTGTACTGGAACACTGTTGTGCTTGCATAAAATTAACAACAGCATCAAAAATAAAACAATGAAACTTGGAGAGATTTGTTTTAACAGAGAATATGTAAATTATGTAACTATCACACTGAGAAAATGAATAATTTGTCCAATATTCACATATCAACTTTGGTGAAAGCGGCTCACCGTGGCACAAGTGTTCAACCACTGACATGCAGCGGGACATCAACAACCACACAGCAGATTTAACAATCAAAACAAGAGTTTCCAACCTAATACTGCCCATAACCTGGCTGCCTGGGGTCCATTGGTGGGGGCCCACGAAAGAAGGGAATAAACGGGGTCTGACTGTACTGCTGAAAGGCCTCCTTGTAGGCCTGTGTGTAAGCCTGCACCCCATCTTTGGATCCTCTTTGACCCCGAAAAGGTCTAAAGTTCCCCTGGCCTCTATTCCCCCTCTGGTAACATTGATCAAACTTTCTGTCTATCTGTCGCCAGTAATTACTGTTTTTGCCAGGTCTTTCTTGACCTTTCTCTCCATCATTATCATTTCTGTTCTTTCTAGGGAAAGGTTCGACTTGTTTAACAATAGTACTGATACTAGAAATGGGACTGCTATCACCAGCAACCAGCCCATCCTCACCATCAGCAGCACGGTTCCAGGGATCTGTTTGTGGTTGCTGGAAAGTCGTGTCTTTTACTCTGGACGGAGATCTGGACCTGACCGCAGACACTTCAGGTTTGTCTGACCAGGGGGCAGTTTCTTCCACAACTGTATCGTCATCAATCATGTCGGCCTCTTCAAGATCATCAGACACCGTCAGCGTCATCAGGTTGGGTCTCACTGGATTGGGAACAAACACGCGGGATTTTAATGCAGCGTGAGAGGTTTTCTGCTTCAACTTTTGCCCAAACTCTGTGATGGCATCAACTAAAGTTTCAGCATTTGCCCTCGGCATGGCAGTTCTTTCATCATGATTTACAGTGTCTATGGCGGTGTGCTCTACGTGTAACCCAGCTTTAGAGGCCACACCATCAGCTGGCACAAGCTCTTTGAGAACTGAACCATGAGTTGCCTGAATGGAGTTTGCATGGTTGGTATTCTGCTGCAATACTGGCCAGTTTTCTTTCTGCCCAGGCGAAGTCTGCGGGAAACTGGGTGGAGGGCTGGTGAAGTTGGGAGGTAAGGCTTGTGTCAGGACAAAAGGTGGAGGCGGTGGAGGCATGCTCAGTAACAAGCCCAAAGATGGTGGAGGGGGTATCGGTATGGACATTGGAGGTGGTACCAATGGTAAAACAGAAGGGAACGTTTCTGGAGACGAGGGCAGGCTGCCGGTAGCTATGTATGCTGAAGGAGATGACGGCTGGCTGGCCGATGTCTTGTTTTCAGCTGAACCTGATGTCCAGGTGGCCCACACTGCAGGTGCGGCAGGTATCTGCTGACCCTGGACGTTGATCTCAGGCTTCTTGCTGACCATCGTCAACATGGTCAAACTGTCCAGGAAACTCTGTGTTCCAGACTTCACTAGAGGAGCTTTCTGAGTCTGGGATATCAGCCTGGACAGGAAGTCTATCGGGTTTTCCTTCTTAGGTGGCGTGCTTCGCTTTGGAGGTGTGGCCAAATGTTCATGTGGTGTGCTTCGCTTTGGAGGTGAGGCCAAATGTTCATCTTGTAAAGGAGTTGTTGGAGCTTCATCGTCAAGAGGTGTGGTACTTCCATCATCTTCACTGATCACACTCGGCCTCGTGGTGGTGACCACTGACACAGGGTGCTGAGGTGTATACACTGGTGCTTTTGAAGGTGTGTCCAACTTATTTCTGGGAAAGAAGCTTGCAAGGCGAGAATCCAGGCTCCCACTGACTGAAAAACAAACCAATGAAAATGTTTAAAGTTCCATTTTTGGTAAAGACTGAAACATTAAATTCTGTGGGATTTTAACACAACCAAAGGTTATTACCAGGTTTTTATGATGTGATTAATGTGATATTGGGTTCAATACAAATGAATCTAAGAAAACACAAACCCCAGCAGCAGACAGGTACTTCTAACAGCCACCCCACCCCCACCCTTCTCCCCTACCACAAAAAACAGCAACATCCTAGCAGTCAGAGTGCCAAAAAACTGTCAGACTGTTCTAACAACTTCCAACAACCAGACTGTTCTAACAACCTCCAACAACCAGACTGTTCTAACAACTTCCAACAACCAGGCTGTTCTAACAACCTCCAACAACCAGGCCGTTCTAACAACCTCCAACAACCAGGCTTTTCTAACAACCTCCAACAACCAGACTGTTCTAACAACCTCCAACAACCAGGCCGTTCTAACAACCTCCAACAACCAGGCCGTTCTAACAACCTCCAACAACCAGGCTTTTCTAACAACTTCCAACAACCAGACTGTTCTAACAACCTCCAACAACCAGGCTGTTCTAACAACCTCCAACAACCAGGCCGTTCTAACAACCTCCAACAACCAGACTGTTCTAACAACCTCCAACAACCAGACTGTTCTAACAACCTCCAACAACCAGGCTGTTCTAACAACCTCCAACAACCAGACTGTTCTAACAACCTCCAACAACCAGGCTGTTCTAACAACCTCCAACAACCAGGCCGTTCTAACAACCTCCAACAACCAGGCCGTTCTAACAACCTCCAACAACCAGGCTGTTCTAACAACCTCCAACAACCAGGCTTTTCTAACAACCTCCAACAACCAGACTGTTCTAACAACCTCCAACAACCAGACTGTTTTAACAACTTCCAACAACCAGACTGTTCTAACAACCTCCAACAACCAGACTGTTCTAACAACCTCCAACAACCAGGCTTTTCTAACAACCTCCAACAACCAGACTGTTCTAACAACTTCCAACAACCAGACTGTTCTAACAACCTCCAACAACCAGACTGTTCTAACAACCTCCAACAACCAGACTGTTCTAACAACCTCCAACAACCAGACTGTTCTAACAACCTCCAACAACCAGGCTTTTCTAACAACCTCCAACAACCAGACTGTTCTAACAACCTCCAACAACCAGGCTGTTTTAACAATGCATAGGCATCTCAGGAGTCCACCCATTAACACTAAGTCAATTCTGGAGATCTGTATGGTAAATTCAATGCGATACAGACCAGGTCACTGTTCAAGTACAAACCCAAGAAACATTTCATACACCACAGCCTTGGCATGGCCTTGACACACTCAAGAGAAATGTTCATACACCACAGCCTTGGCATGGCCTTGACACACTCAAGAGAAATGTTCATACACCACAGCCTTGGCATGGCCTTGACACACTCAAGAGAAATGTTCATACACCACAGCCTTGGCATGGCCTTGACACACCCAAGAAACATTTCATACACCACAGCCTTGGCATGGCCTTGACACACTCAATTTTTGTGTGATCTGATACTGTCAGATTTTCTCAGCTGGTCCAATGTCATGTACTGGTTCAACTAACAATAGTCACATACTGGTTCAACTAACAATAGTCATGTACTGGTTCAACTAACAATAGTCACATACTGGTTCAACTAACAATAGTCATGTACTGGTTCAACTAACAATAGTCACATACTGGTTCAACTAACAATAGTCATGTACTGGTTCAACTAACAATAGTCACATACTGGTTCAACTAACAATAGTCATGTACTGGTTCAACTAACAATAGTCACATACTGGTTCAACTAACAATAGTCATGTACTGGTTCAACTAACAATAGTCATGTACTGGTTCAACTAACAATAGTCATGCACTGGTTCAACTAACAATAGTCATGTACTGGTTCAACTAACAATAGTCATGTACTGGTTTAACTAACAATAGTCATGTACTGGTTTAACTAACAATAGTCACATACTGGTTCAACTAACAATAGTCACATACTGGTTCAACTAACAATAGTCATGTACTGGTTCAACTAACAATAGTCATGTACTGGTTCAACTAACAATAGTCATGTACTGGTTCAACTAACAATAGTCACATACTGGTTCAACTAACAATAGTCATGTACTGGTTCAATTAACAATAGTCATGTACTGGTTCAACTAACAATAGTCATGTACTGGTTCAACTAACAATAGTCACATACTGGTTCAACTAACAATAGTCATGTACTGGTTCAACTAACAATAGTCATGTACTGGTTCAACTAACAATAGTCATGTACTGGTTCAACTAACAATAGTCACGTACTGGTTCAACTAACAATAGTCACGTACTGGTTCAACTAACAATAGTCATGTACTGGTTCAACTAACAATAGTCATGTACTGGTTCAACTAACAATAGTCATGCACTGGTTCAACTAACAATAGTCACGCACTGGTTCAACTAACAATAGTCACATACTGGTTCAACTAACAATAGTCACGTACTGGTTCAACTAACAATAGTCACATACTGGTTCAACTAACAATAGTCATGTACTGGTTCAACTAACAATAGTCACATACTGGTTCAACTAACAATAGTCACGTACTGGTTCAACTAACAATAGTCATGTACTGGTTCAACTAACAATAGTCATGTACTGGTTTAACTAACAATAGTCATGTACTGGTTCAACTAACAATAGTCACATACTGGTTCAACTAACAATAGTCATGTACTGGTTCAACTAACAATAGTCATGTACTGGTTCAACTAACAATAGTCATGAACTGGTTCAACTAACAATAGTCACATACTGGTTCAACTAACAATAGTCATGTACTGGTTCAATTAACAATAGTCATGTACTGGTTCAACTAACAATAGTCATGTACTGGTTCAACTAACAATAGTCACATACTGGTTCAACTAACAATAGTCATGTACTGGTTCAACTAACAATAGTCATGTACTGGTTCAACTAACAATAGTCATGTACTGGTTCAACTAACAATAGTCACGTACGGGTTCAACTAACAATAGTCATGTACTGGTTCAACTAACAATAGTCATGCACTGGTTCAACTAACAATAGTCACGCACTGGTTCAACTAACAATAGTCACATACTGGTTCAACTAACAATAGTCACGTACTGGTTCAACTAACAATAGTCATGTACTGGTTCAACTAACAATAGTCATGTACTGGTTCAACTAACAATAGTCATGTACTGGTTCAACTAACAATAGTCTTGTACTGGTTCAACTAACAATAGTCACATACTGGTTCAACTAACAATAGTCACGTACTGGTTCAACTAACAATAGTCATGTACTGGTTCAACTAACAATAGTCACGTACTGGTTCAACTAACAATAGTCATGTACTGGTTCAACTAACAATAGTCATGTACTGGTTCAACTAACAATAGTCATGTACTGGTTCAACTAACAATAGTCATGTACTGGTTCAGCTAACAATAGTCATGTACTGGTTCAACTAACAATAGTCATGTACTGGTTCAACTAACAATAGTCATGTACTGGTTCAACTAACAATAGTCATGTACTGGTTCAACTAACAATAGTCATGTACTGGTTCAACTAACAATAGTCATGTACTGGTTCAACTAACAATAGTCATGTACTGGTTCAACTAACAATAGTCACGTACTGGTTCAGCTAACAATAGTCACGTACTGGTTCAATTAATAACACAGTCATATACTAGTTCAATTAACAACACAGTCATATACTGGTTCAATTAACAACACAGTCAAATACTAGTTCAATTAACAACCCAGTCATATACTGGTTCAATTATCAATGCAGTCATATACTGGTTCAATTAACAATACAGTCAAATACTGGCTCAATTAACAATACAGTCATATACTGGTTCAACTAACAACTGAGTCATTTACTGGTTGAACTAGCAACTTAGTCATATACTGGTTCAATTAACAATACAGTCATATACTGGTTCAATTAACAATACAGTCATATACTGGTTCAATTAACAATACAGTCAAATACTGGTTCAATTAACAACACAATCATATACTGGTTCAATTAACAACCCAGTCATATACTGATTTAAATTACAACCCAGTCATATACTGGTTCAATTTGATTAGATTTGATTCAAGAACTGACATCACAGCACTTAGGGCATTCTCATAAGCGCTCAGTCCCCATCTTCAGCAGCCAGCGAAGAGTTCCGATACTAATGGTGCCAGTAGCATTCTGATTAAAAGTCCGTCCTGTACCCCTGCATCAATCTCACCAGACTGTGGTGATCAATCTGCTTCTCCAAACTGTACATGCTCTCCCACAAGGCACTAACCACGTCAAATTTGGTTCAATTAACAACACAGTCATGTACTGGTTACATTAACAACAGTCATATACTGATTCAACTAACAACTTAGTCATATACTGGTTCAACTAACAAAACAGTCATATACTGGTTCAACTAACAACACAGTCATATACTGGTTCAACTATCAACACAGTCATATACTGGTTCAACTAACAACACAGTCATATACTGGTTCAACTATCAACACAGTCATATACTGGTTCAACTAACAACACAGTCATATACTGGTTCAACTAACAACACAGTCATATACTGGTTCAACTAACAACACAGTCATATACTGGTTCAACTATCAACACAGTCATATACTGGTTCAACTATCAACACAGTCATATACTGGTTCAACTAACAACACAGTCATATACTGGTTCAACTAACAACACAGTCATATACTGGTTCAACTATCAACACAGTCATTTACTGGTTCAACTATCAACACAGTCATATACTGGTTCAACTATCAACACAGTCATATACTGGTTCAACTATCAACACAGTCATATACTGGTTCAACTATCAACACAGTCATATACTGGTTCAACTATTAACACAGTCATATACTGGTTAAACTAACAACACAGTCATATACTGGTTCAACTAACAACTTAGTCATATACTGGTTAAACTAACAACACAGTCGTATACTGGTTCAACTAACAACACAGTCATATACTGGTTCAATTAACAACACAGTCATATACTGGTTCAACTAACAACACAGTCATATACTGGTTCAACTATCAACACAGTCATATACTGGTTCAACTATCAACACAGTCATATACTGGTTCAACTATCAACACAGTCATATACTGGTTAAACTAACAACACAGTCATATACTGGTTCAACTAACAACTTAGTCATATACTGGTTAAACTAACAACACAGTCATATACTGGTTAAACTAACAACACAGTCATATACTGGTTAAACTAACAACACAGTCATATACTGGTTCAACTAACAACTTAGTCATATACTGGTTAAACTAACAACACAGTCATATACTGGTTAAACTAACAACACAGTCATATACTGGTTCAACTAACAACACAGTCATATACTGGTTCAACTATTAACACAGTCATATACTGGTTAAACTAACAACACAGTCATATACTGGTTCAACTAACAACACAGTCATATACTGGTTAAACTAACAACACAGTCATATACTGGTTAAACTAACAACACAGTCATATACTGGTTCAACTAACAACACAGTCATATACTGGTTCAACTATCAACACAGTCATATACTGGTTAAACTAACAACACAGTCATATACTGGTTAAACTAACAACACAGTCATATACTGGTTCAACTAACAACACAGTCATATACTGGTTCAACTAACAACACAGTCATATACTGGTTCAACTAACAACACAGTCATATACTGGTTCAACTATCAACACAGTCATATACTGGTTCAACTATCAACACAGTCATATACTGGTTCAACTATCAACACAGTCATATACTGGTTCAACTATCAACACAGTCATATACTGGTTCAACTATCAACACAGTCATATACTGGTTCAACTATCAACACAGTCATATACTGGTTCAACTAACAACAGTCACGAGCTTGTACACTGAATCTTACACTAGGAAAGTGAAAGAAAAAAGTATTAGGCTAACAGGCAAAGTGGTTTGGACAAACAAGATGTTCACACGGATACTGATGACAAACACACAGAAATATGTGCTACACAACACATTCAAGAAACTGACCAGTGTCTAGAGCATCCAGGTTGAGATCTGGAGGGGAGCCATCCGGCGATGG